TGCTTCAAGGAGCCTCGGGACCACCCCCCCCCCCCACCCCCCACACACACACACAGCTGGCTATTGTCCTAGAGGAGGCCGACCTGAGGGACTAAGAAGCACAGGGAAGCGTCCTTTGCCAAGGCCCAGGAAGGCCGAGGTGAAGCAGATGACAAAGAGTGTAGTTTTGTGGCAGATATTTTGCTCGTGTCTACCTAACACATGGCACCAAGCAAATCCCCAAGCATTGGCCTTTGCCCACGTGTCTTAGTTACCTAGTGCTGTGGTAACAGGAAAACCACAAGAGGACTGCTTTCACAAACAGAAGTTTACTCCCTCCGGAATTCACAGTGCTGGTTTAGGGGGTGGCTTTGTCAGCTCAAAGACAAGGGACCGCTGTGGGCCTGGAATTCCTGGAGGATCTTGCCATCAATCCTTCCCTGGGTCTAGGAAGTTCTCTGTGCAGGGTCCCTGGCTCCAAAGGATACACTCAGCTCCGAGATCTTCACTTCCTCTTCCGAGACGCTGACCACAGCTGGCCTAGTCCACTTCGTGGCCTTACACACAATCCTTAGGCTTTCTTCTTTTTGTAAACTCTTGTTTCTAATCGATCCTTTGTTAGTATTTACAGAGTTCCCCCACCCCCAATTTTGCTAATTGGTCTTCCATCAATTCAAGTAGATCTCCTCATCTTTCTAATTATTTTATTGACGTCTGAAAATTAGGTCGTAATATCCTGGATTTCTTCTTGCTGCTTTCTCTTTCTTTTTTTTTTTGTATAAGAGAGGGTTTTATTTTATTTTATTTTTAAACTTTTTATTTTTTAATCATATTATCAGGGGCTCATACAACTCTTATCACAATCCACACATACATCAATTGTGTAAAGCACATTTGCACATTCATTTCCCTCATCATTCTCAAAACATTTTCTTTCCACTTAAGCCCCAGCATCAGCTCCTCATTTTCCCCTCCCTCCTCTACCCCTCCCTCATGAACCCTTGATAATTTATAAATTATTATTTTGTCATATCTTTCCCTGTCCGACATCTCCCTTCACCCACTTTTCTGTTGTCCATCCCCCAGGGAAGAGGTTATATGTAGATCCTTGTAATCGGTTACCCCTTTCTACCCCACGCTCCCTCCACCCTCCCGGTATCGCCACTCTCACCACTGGTCCTGAAGGGATCATCGGCCCTGGATTCCCTGTGTTTCCAGTTCCTATCTGTACCAGTGTACATCCTCTGGTCTAGCTAGACTTGCAAGGGAGAATTGGGATCATGATAGTGTGGGGAGAGGAAGCATTTAGGAACTAGAGGAAAGTTGTATGTTTCATCATTGCTACACTTCACCCTCGACCCTTCTATAAGGGGATGTCCAGATGCCTACAGATGGGCTTTGGATCTCCGCTCCCCTTCATTCACAATGATATGAATTTTTGTTCTTTGATGCCTGATACCTGATCCCTTTGACACCTCGTGGTCACACAGGCTGGTGTGCTTCTTCCATGTGGGCTTTGTTGTTTCTGAGCTAAATGGCCACTTGTTTACCTTCAACCCTTTAAGACCCCAGATGCTGTATCTTTTGATAGCTGGGCACCATCCGCTTTCTTCGCCACATTTGCTTATGCCCCCATTTGTCTTCAGTGATTGTATCAGGGAGTTGCTGCTTTTTCATGATTGGCATTTCCCCCTTGTTTGATCAGTTTTTCCTTGTATTGTTTTCCTAGAGTTTTGTCTGTGTTTTTCTGGAAGGTGCCTGAGTGTAGTTCTCTTGGGTTCCTCTGTCAGATAGTTCCAACAGCATTTCTTCCTCTGGGTGCCTTCCTCGTCCTCTGTTTGGGTCATTTGATGGAGCCATCTGGTCCTCTTCGTGCGCGCGCATGTGTGTGTGTGTGTGTGTGTGTGTGATTTGGGTTTGTTGTCTCAGCGACATTGCAAAAAAAAAAAATAGAAGAAAAAGATCAACAGTGGAAGAGAGAAGAATTATGATGAAAGAAAAGGGAGAAAGGGGGAACAGTGGCCCAGGAGTGGTGCGGTGGTTCCCCACCAAACTCGGCTGCAGCGACAGCGAAGTGCTCACTGTGTGGGAAGGTGGGGGGAACACTGTGGACTGAGGAGATGGAAGGGGGCAGGGCACCTGCAGTCACTGTCGAGGGGGCAAGGGTGGGTGCTTCTGACTGAGGAGGTGGCAGGAGCCGGGTAACCACACTGCAGGATAAAAGGAAAAGAAGGGAGGGGGGGAGGAAAGAAACCTACAGGGAGAGGGGGAAGAACTAAGAAGTAAGAAGCAAGCAAGCAGGGGAGGAGGGGGAAGAAATGGGGAGCGGATATCAGGGGCTCAAGTGGGAAGAGAACGCTTTGAAATGATGATGGCAGCATATGTGCACATGTGCTTGACTCACTGGAGGCATGTATGGATTGTGATAAGAGATTAAGAGCCCCCAACAAAAGTATTTTTAAAAACATTTAAAAAGAAAGAAAGAAAACAGCCTATACCCCATCGACAGGGAGGGGGGTTGAGCAAGGCGAGGCAGTGTGTGGGGGGCATGTCTCTGGTCACTGGGGCGTTGTACAGGGTGGGAAGTATGGGGATCACCCAGTCCTGGCTGCTTTTCATCGATGTGGGTCATAGATGTGGGTGCCAGGGCCGTCCAGGGCGAGCAGAGCCAGTCATCTGGCTCCTGCCACCGGAGGAATGTCCCTTGCTACAACCCCCAGTGGCTGCACTGTGCCAGGCAGGCTGGCCATTAAAGGCTCCGTTTACCTCCTCGCTTGCTGCTTTTGCTTGGTCTCTTCCGCTGATTCGTTTCACATCTACTTCTGCACCTATGTTTTGAAACTGGGTTCCAGGCATGTCGTGGGTCTCCGTTGCACCTGGGTTCTCAGGGCCTGGTTGTGGAGGGCCCGGATGGAATGTCTCCTAGCCTGCCACCTTGGCCAGGGGCCTTCTCTGTAGCGTGTGACGTAGTCTGTGTGT